TGTTCTTTGTTTTCTTTATCCTATTCCTTCCAAAGTTTCATTGGACAAAAAAAAAAGTCTGAATGGATTTCTGTATGAAAGCATCCATGAATTAGTGACATCTAAATTGTGGGAAGCCCTCCACCAATAGAATGAAATATTTTGGGAATATTAAAAGAGGCAGAATATTATATTTCCCCTAAAGGAGAAGAGGAGAATCATCTTAAAGGCAGAAAGCAGCCCCAGTCTTCTTGCTATAGGAAAACAGTCTCAAGCAAAAGTATGAAGAGGCCAGTCTATAGGAGATTTTGTATCCATTCAGAAAGATTGGGCCACTCTATTCTTAAGCAAAGAGCAAACAGAGACTCCAAATAAGCAACACAGTTAAGCAAGCCAAAGTTGACAAAATAAGCTCAGACAAATAAAAACCTAGAATTTGCATTTCCACTTTTGCCTGTAGAACCAGCCATGACCCCTACATCAAGGCTTTTCAACCAGTGGTACAGGTACCACCTGTGGTACATTGGCACCTGGAAGGTGGTACGCGAACATCCTAGAAAAGTGGTAGCGGGGGAGGGGAATGAGATGAACCGGTGGCAGCAGTGCACAAACCTGAGTGAGAGATGGCTGGAGCTGCAGGGCTGTCAGGGCTCAGCAGAAGCCCCAGGATCAGCGCCAGGCTCCAGCTGGACAGCAGCACTGATCCTGGGGCTTCTGCTGAGCCCAGAAGAAGCGCCGATCAGCTGGAATGTTGCAGCATCTCCAGGGTTTTGTGATTTACATTTAGATGCTTGGCAACTGATTCATATTTATGACGGTCACCGTGTCCCAGGGTCATATGAAGTGACCAAAACCTGCTGCAACCACCCAGCAGATGGGGGCGAATAAAAACCAAACACCCCCTCACCCCACCCCCACTGCTAATCCTCAACAAAAATGCTCACAACAATGGAAACTTCAGACAGGAGGAAGAGTGCCGCCAGGTGGGCAGGCAGGTGTCATGCTCGGCTGTGGCTTGGGGGGCACTTTTTTCAGTGCCATTGTAACTTCGAACAGTCACTAAGCAAACTGTTATAAGTCGAGGACTACCTGTACTTTATCACTTTTTCCCTTTTTTGGGGGGGGTCATCAAGTTTTTGACACCTTGCTGGGTGACTGGTGGTACTCGGATATTGCCATATCCTAAAAGTGGTACAATGGGTGAAAAGGTTGAAAAGCCCTGCCCTACATGACCCCATAGGAATCTGGCAACAGCCATTAGAAGGACATGTTCTTGCACAGGAACAGGTATCTCAATCATAAGGCCCCAAAGAATGATCTCATTTTGTCAGCCACCCCATAAACATGCTGCTGCCCTATCATTTCAGATAAATGGTTGTCCAATCTATTCTTAACAACCACCCACAACTACTGAAGGAAAGTTGTTCCACTGATTAATTGTTTTAACTCTCAGGAAATTGCTTCTTAGTTCTAGATTGGTTTTATCCTTGATGAGTATCCTTTAATTGCTTCTTATCCTGTCTTCAGGTGCTTTGGAGGATAGCTTGGCCCCCTCTCCTTTGTGGCAGCCCCTTATTAATAAATGTGGCCCAAGAAATACATTGACTAATGTTCAACTACCAAACAACCTACACAGTCAGATTATTCACAGCAATTGCAGA